TTGTTACAATATAAGTAGGCGCAGAGCTGCTCGTAAACAACGCGTTCCAATACTTTAGAAAAAATTGGCAGTAGACTGATCGGTCTCAGTTGACCATAGTTAGTAGGGTCAGAACACTTAGGTAGCGGAATAACTACAGCGCGTTTCCACTGATTGGGGAAATATCCCCCCTCTAAACAGCAATTTATAATATGCGTTAAGTACACATCAATTTCAGGTATACATAGTAGTATCATACGCAAAGTTATTTCATCTGTACCACTAGAATTTGATTTTATTTTATGTATAATTTTAACAACGGTGTCAATAGTCACTTTATTAAATTGAAATTTGAATTTTGAGTTATTTTTATTAGCTCGGTAATATGCAATTTTATCAGCACAAGCCAAATCACTATTCTCGAAAATTGAAATGAATGCCTCATTTATTTTATACGGATCTGACAAGCTCACGGGAATTGTAGAATCTTTCTGAGATTGTACTTTGAAAGTCTTTAGGGTCTTATAAAACTTTTTTATATCCTGATTTTGAACAGCTTGTAAATAATCTCTTTTTCCTCTTCGCACGAGCGTTAATGCACGATTTCTGAAATATGTATACTGTTGCCAAGATGTTTGATAAAACTCAAGTCAACAAACCACAAGATATTGTCAACGCTTTTGCAGATTTTTTTCAGTCCGTATACTCACCTTCCACAAACTTTACCCCCGCAAACTCACCTGACTGCGCCTCATTACCCTTGAATATACCAATTACTGAGAAACAGGTTGTTGCCGCTTTGAAAAAGATTAAACCCAAGGGATCTTCCACTCCAGATCTAATCCCTGGATTTTTACTGAAAGACTGTGCTTTTGTTTTAGCTGAGCCTTTAGCTTATCTGTACAACACATCTCTTATCACGACATTTCCCATGGCTTGTAAAACATCTAGGATTGCTCCCATATTTAAAAAAGGCGAACGTTGTGTCATTGAGAATTATAGAGCTGTTGTGATTATACGCAACGTTGGTAAGGTTTTCGAATGTTTATTGCAAGATATAGTTTTCTCCCATGTTAAGCACGAAATTTCTCCAAATCAACATGGCTTTTTACAAGGCAGATCTACTTTAACTAATCTAGCGTGTTTTAAACAGTTTTGCTCTGAAGTTGTTGATGAAGCGGGTCAAGTAGATGATGGTTACGTTGACTTTTCAAAAGCTTTTGATTAGCTACATCACGGTATTTTGTTAAAGAAATTAGCTATGTGAGGGTTGACTCATCAATTCTTGAAGTTTTTCAAATCTTGTCTTACAAACAGTTGCTGGAAAGTCGAATACAGGGGCTTCACCTCCACTCAGATTATACCTTCTTCCGGTGTACCTCAAGGGTCTGCTCTTGGCCCTTTGCCTTGCCAAATTTTCATTGATGATGACGTTGGGGAGCTACACAATAGCGGTCTTCTATATGCACATGACTATGAAGATTATTTGTAAAATTGAAACCATGAAGGACTGTAACGTATTGCAAAACGACTTGAGCAACCTAAATAAGTGGTGTCACCGTAACAAGCTGTACCTTAATGCTGATAAATGCTACACTATGTCTATTACGCGCTAACTTGTTCCAATCAGATTCATATATAACACTGATAATTCCCAACTTAACATGTATGAGGAGTTTCATGACTTAGGTATATTCTTTGATACCAAACTTACATTTGTTTCGCATATTGATGATGTTGTTAGCAAGGCCTATAAAAGTTTGGGCTTCATTATCCGGAATTGAGGGATTTCAATAATATGTATACCATGATCTCGTTATACAGTGTGAGTCTTCATAAAGTGCACATAGCAAAATCATGGAAACTACACCTTATTTTACTGACGGAAAAATTATCAAAAAAAAAATTAAAAACAATAATTGATTTTTTATGAATATTTTAAAATTTTTAGAGTCAGCTGCTAACCCTATTTAAATAAATCGTTACGACTTTTAAATTGAATGTCCTATCATATTGGAATAAATTTTGTAGTGATGGCAAATAATAGGCCGTATCAGTAAATTTAAAATTTCCACGAAATTAAATGCTATAAATTTAAAATAAAGAGGAATATGCTGAAAATCACTATTTTTTCAATGATTTTTAAAACAATTGCCAAATTTCAATAAAAATTGTCCTATTTACCCTACCTTTTTTAAATGTTAAGTTATTCTACATGTTATTAGCTTCCTAATGGTGGAAAACTGCAAGTTTATTACTTAGATACAAGTTTTTAAATCAGCGTTTCATAAAGCAGTGAACTCAGTTCAACGTCAGAGTAGGAATAAAACAACAGTATTAACCTACATGAATCATTCATTATCTTTAACAAATAACATCAAATAGACTTGTCTATAGGATAATCATTTTGGCTTAATGCATCAAATGTTCAAAATGGCCACCCCGTTGCTGCAAACACATCGTAGCGCGAAGTGAAATTTGATGAGTTGCCCTACGAATCATCTCGGGATCATTTTTGATTTCGTTTGCAACACGCAAAACTCTTTCTTCAAGTTCCGCTTCGCTGTTTATGGAACTGCTGTACACCCTTTGTTTCATTGTCCCCCATAAAAAATAGTCGAGAGGTGTGAGATCTGGGGAACGCGCCGGCGACCCAACAGGTCCTTGTCGACCGATCCAGCGGCCTGGATAATTTTCATTAAGAAAAGACCTGACAATCAGCGAGTAATGGGCAGGACATCCATCCATTTGAAGCATCATTCTTCGACGGGTTTGCAGCGGCACTTCTTCCAACAGCAAGGGCAGTTCAGTCCGCAAAAGCTGCAGAAATCTCACTCCGTTTAATGTCCTCGGGAGTATTATTGGACCAATCAAAAAGTTGTCAATCAGTGCGGCCCACACATTTACAGAAAATTTCACTTGAAATGTTGAAGCCCTTTTCAGCCTAGAGTTTGCATATTTTGGGCACCACTTATGTAAATTACGACAGTTCACGATGCCGTCTCTCGTGAATTGAGATTCATCTGTCCACAGAATTGTTTTCGGGAATTCAGGATTGTCTCTTGTTTTTATTAAAATCCATGTAGACATAACGCACCTTAGACGCCAATCCACATCTTCATCCAAGTGCTGCACCCTTTGATAATGGTATGGACGCAACCCTGCTTTCCTCAAGATGCGCCAAACCGATTTCTGGGATACGCCATGACGTAACGCCAAACGTCTCGTATTAGTAGTCGGGTCAGCAAACAAATCATCCAAAATGGCTTCTTCGATAGCAACATGAATAATAATACCTGGTTCGCGGCGATCTCGAGGCAAACCAAGTCCAGTGTTAGCCAGTCTTCTATGTACTTCTTGGAAGTTACGGGCTGATGGAACAGGGCGTCGATTTGGAAATGCAGCTAGATAAGCTGTGCAAGCAGCTCTAGCACTCCCTCGGTACATTCCATAATAATAATGGATATCGGCAATGTGTGCCAGAGGGAAATCACTTATACGTGGCAACGCGACCAAAAAGCGAAAGCGTGATATGTAGCAAACGAAACTGATAAAGTTGGCAGGAGAAACACAAATAGCTGCCTAACTGCCCAACATTCAATTGTTTTTCAACTAGGCCCGCGCGACTCTACATTGAATCACCAAAAAAAGCTATCTACATGATAAACAATGGTGCCTAGCAAGACGATGCGCATGGGCTTTTTTATAAACAATAATAGAAACTGTTACATTTGAGTAATAAACGTTCAATTTTTACTTTTATAAAGCAGATAACATGTAGAATAACTTACAAATAAAAAAAGGTAGGGTACAAGGGACGATATTTATAGAAAATTTGAAATTATAGTAAAAATGATGAAAAAAAAACAGATTTTCATCAAAATTTTCTTTCTTCTAAATGGATGTCATTACTTTTCCTGGAATTCTTCACTTTTCAGGCACGTCCTTTTACCAGCAATCACTACAAAATGTATTCCAATATGATAGGACATTTAGTCTAAAAGTTGTAACGAGTTATTTCAATATGGTTAGAAGCTGCTACTAAAAATTTTAAAATATTCATATATTCATAAAAAATCAAATTCATGTTTTTTTGATGATTTATCCGTCGATTGAAATAGAGTGTAGTTTCCCTGATTTTGATATGTGCACTTTATGAAGACTCACACTGTATAATTTGTTCGATACAAAGTTGAATGCTGCTCTAATCTGGTATCCTGTTCATGATCACTCGAATAAATTTGAACGTATTCAGAGTTGGTTTGTGAAATATTTGTGGCACAAGGAAGATGGTACGTATCCAGAAGTTGGCTTCAGGCATGATGTATTACTTAGCAGATATAACCTATGTAACTTGGAGAAGCGCAGAAACTACGCTGCTTGTGTATTTTTATATAAAATGCTTAATAATGCCATAGATTGTGAATATTTACTCGGTAAGATTCTTATTCATGTACCTAATGCTAAGACGCGATCTAATTCCAAATGCTTTTACTTAAACGTAACTAGAACCAATGCGTTGCTTTCCTCTCTGTAACAACTATAAACGTGCAAGAAACGCTGTAGATTTGTTCTTTTGTAATTTGAGTACCTTAAGAAGATTTTACATCACAGTAGGTTGTCATTTGGCAATTTCAAGTTATTTTAGAACAATTTTGTCTTAAAATTGATTCCTGTGTCCCTATCCGTTGAATGGTGAAATAAACCGTTCTGATAGTGTATATAAAGGGTGTCCCAAAATTAACGCAAGATTTGAATTAAATAGAAAATGCCATTTTTAGTCTTTTAATAGTTATATTTTTATTGACTCATAAAGTACATAGGATAGGGTTATGTATGGAATAACACATCGGACAAATGGCCTCCACGGCTTTGCATGCACATGCGCACTCTTTTGTCGAAATTTTCCATTACCCTTCTGCATAAATGTGGCTGAATTTCGTTGATGCAGCGTTGAATCTCCTCCTTTAATGCACGGGTGGTTGTGGGCTTGTTGACATAGACTTGTGATTTCAAATAACCCCATAAAAAGAAGTCTAATGGTGTTAAATCACACGATCTAGGAGGCCAATTTTGATCACCGAAACGAGAGAGTACACGACCGGGAAATGTCTCATGCAGTAATTGAATTGTTTCACGGGCTGTATGACATGTGGCACCGTCTTGTTGAAACCACATATTGGGTACATCAATATCATTCAATTTTGGCAGAAAGAACTGTGTAATCATGTCGCGATATCGAGCACCAGTAACAGTCACTGCTTGACCAGCATCATTTTCAAAAAAATATGGCCCAATTATGCCTCCAGCCCAAAATCCACACCAGACAGTCACGCGTTGTGGGTGCATTTCTTTTTCGACAATCACACGTGGGTTCTCCGAACCCCAAATGCGGCAATTTTGGCGATTGACAAAGCCATCAAGATGAAAATGTGCTTCATCGCTTAGGATGATTTTGCTTGAAAAATCAGGGTCCATTTGTTGATGTTCAATAATCCATTCAACAAACTCTCTTCTCTCTGCATGATCATTAAGCTTCAATTGTTGTGTTAATTGAAGTTTGTAAGCATGAAGACACAGATCTTTGGTGAGTATACGCTGTAGAGAGGTTCTTGACATTTGCAATTCTTGTCCACGACGTCGAATTGAGGTTCCTGGATTGTCCGCAACACTCTCACGCACTGCTTCGATATTCACATTTGAACGGCTTGTTTTTGGACGACCAGTGTGTTTGGCGTCTCCAACGGATCCAGTCTCCATGAATTTTTCAATTAATCTCTTCACAGTTGACGAAGTTAAAACACTATTCCGGCCATATTTTGTATGAAATTTTCGAACTGCAGCCGCCAAGCTTTCACTATTTTTGAAATATTCTTTAATAATGAAGACACGTTGTTCTATCGTGTAACGCTCCATTTTTCATAACCCTATACTGTTAGCTGTCAAATTGCTTTTTTTCAGGGTTGCCAACACTTCACTGCACAAATGGCGGCAAATTCAAATCTTGCGTTAATTTTGGGACACCCTTTACTAGTAAATAAATAAATAAATAATATCATCTTCAGCGACGAATTGCGATGCCATCTAGGTACGTACGATTGTCGTAGTTTTTTGTTTTTCTAGCCAAAGACCATTATATAAATTACCGATTTTAATGTTTTTTGCAAACAGCGTCATCTCTACGACAGTTCCAAAACCTTTATAAACCGACGACGGCGTTACATGAGAAGCGTATAATCAACCTATATACTTGACGTCATTTTCTACGTTTTTGCTGCTGTTGCATCGTTGACAACATTCGTTTGTTATTTCAAACTTACAATTAGTTGTTTCGGAAAAGTCCCTACCCAGTATATCAGCGAGGCGATTTCCTGCCTTGTTTCAATCGCTTTCTATGGAACTTTTATCAGCAACAAAGACGTAGCAAATAAACTAGCGTACAGCAGTCGACGCGACCGATGGAATCCACTTCCACAACCCTTAAATCTTTTTCTGGTCAGCAAGAGGTTGTTGCATAATAGAAGCGCGAACAGCAAAAAAAACCGTTTTCTCGTTCCTCCGCGCTCGGTGCTTGCCACTGACCGCGGCATACACCACACGAAGGTACTAAATGATGCAGAAGTTTTTTCAAAAAAAATATTCTCTTCCATTTATTCCTGAAAGAATTCTATATCCTTGCAGGTTGATACGCTACAGCGGCGGAGCAAGAAGGATTTAGGCGGTTTTGGCGACACACTTTATCGCGTGGGTAAACAGTTTGTTAGTACATTACAGATGATACTATCTTGAATACTTTTTGGCGCCATTTGTGCCAGATCCATCTGGAAACAAAGTGGCGTCAAGTAGATTGACTCCATACTTCCTATGCCTTGGATGTTTGAAAGAACAGGGATGACGTAAATCGTTTCAAAAGGCAAATCGTGACTAGGTAGGTTCACTTTGGTACGATGAATCTTCGACTTCTGCAGATCAAACTTTATAAAGCAAATCTTCTCCTATTTCTGTTTCCATAGCAGAAGTAGGGAAAACATGTGTGAATGATTGTGTTTAATAGGTGCATAGTATCACTGAGATCAGCAGCTCCCTAATAAAAGAAGGTATTTCACTCATACAAAAAATTCAACAATTTACAACCAGTTACCGCATACCTACAATTTTCATCTTCTCCACAGAGTGTCTGAAAATGAGAAGGAATCTCTGAAACATCGTAACACTATGTTCTAGCGATTTTCAAAATCTATGACTACCTAGACGATGGAAGTGTTAAGCTCGCGATAATATGCTTAAAGATATCTGCATCACTGAAGTTCGTGTTTCTTATTTATGTCGGTTCGTCAGTCCGTGTCAATGCGTCGTAAGTACCGAGTCAATCTACTTGACGAAATATTCAGAGAACCTTCATACACAAATAAAAGGTTAGACGAAATGGGTGGTACATTTAAGCACAGCCGACGTCAACTACGAGCCGTGAACAAAGAAATCTGGCAACGTAGGTGGTAGTGTTACTCCCGCCGCTGCTTGCTGCATCGACGCAACTCGTGCTTAAAACGCTGAGAAAACATAACCTTTTCAATTTGTGATTTTGGAATCCCAGAGGCTGTAATTAAGAGATAAGCTTGTTTTCTAAGCGCCAAAGTGTGTGTATGTGTTCAAAGTGATCGGTGACTATAATATATGAGAAATAGACTCCAGTTGTAGTGCTTCTGTGCTTTAAAAATAAACTAAGAAGTGTGACTGTGGCTGTTCGCGCCTCAGGACGCTAAGTATTTCAACTATTGAAAACGTGCAAATTCAGGTTGTATTTTTCTTTTTTCATTTATCAAGTATTTGACGCAGACAATATGCCTCGTTGTTGCTGTGTTCCTTCATGCAATACAAACTATAATTCTGCTTTGAAAACAGAAAGCTATGCTTCAACTTTTCGCTTCCCAAGTACCGAAAGTCTGAAAAACAAATGGCTTATGGCAATTCCCAGAAAAAATTGGACACCTTCAAAATATTCAGCTGTGTGCAGTCGTCATTTTAGAGAATCGGATATCATCAGGACAGAAAATATAGTTTTGGCGGATGGAACAGTCCAAAATAATATACCTTTGAAATATCCAAAATTGAAAGAAAATGCTGTTCCCTCCATTTTTCCAAACTTGCCATCATATCTTTCAAAAACTGAAGCACCCAAAAGAACTGACCCAATGCAAAGAAAACAAAAATTAATTGAGAAACATGAAAAAGCTATCCAGAATTTCGATGATATGGATAAGATCAAAGATAAATTTAGTTCAAAAATGTGGATTTGATGTTATTTGTGTTGTTACTGATAATCACCGAATTAATAGAGCAATGTTCAGGAAATTTTGAATGATTATGTAAAATTGAAAAATAACAGTAAAACTGAAAGGAAATGTATTAAAAACAAACAGGTACCTCCACATTTCCAAGCTGGGCCTGTTGGAACACAGTGTGCTGACACCAAAAAACGTAAACTAAATACTTTTAATTAGGTTAACTGCATTAGCGACTCATATATATATCACGATTATTTCGTATTTTTAAATTTTTTATAGCTATTTCATATTCAGACGATTTGTATCGAATCGAACTGTCCTCTTTTCCAAAATTAAATTTAGTTCTTGAACGTTACACGGAGACGGAGCACACAGCCGCTGGCGGCCGACGTTCACAGGTAGCACTACCATGCCGTCCGAGCGCGGTGTTGCCTTTCTTTCATCACGGCTCGTAGTTGACGTCGGCTGTGATTTAAGAATTATAAATTTCAGAAAAATACCCATCGTTGGTCAGGTAAACCTTGGAAAACTGACGTTTCGTGTCATTATTTTGAACCATCCAGTAAACAATCATCGATGCAATGGAAGCACGCAAATTCTCCGCCGTCAAAGAAGCAGGCAGGGTCATGTTAACATTTTTTTTCGTCCTTGCTCATAGAGTTTAAAAAACCTACAGTCCATATCAATGCAAACCTGAATAATGACACTTTGAACAATCTCCATTAAGCAATAAGACGAAAACGTCCAGCGAAGCTCTCACGTGGTGTCGTTCTTCTGAACGTCAACGCTCGGCCTCATGTTGCTAGAGTAGTGGAAGAAAATCTACAACGAAAGAAATGGAGGAAATTAGAGCATCCACCCTATACGAGGTATGTCTTTTAAGTTTTGCATATGGAAATAAAACAACACGGTAGGTAGTTTTAAATGACTTTATTGTTTTTCGAAGTATTCTCCATGAAGATTAATACACATTTGCATGCACTCGAACCAATTTTCGAAACACTTATTCCACGCGAATGCTGGCAGATCCAAAACGGCATTTTTGAATGCGTCAACTGCTTCTTCTGGTGACTGGAACCTTTGACCACGCAGTCTGTTTTTAATTTTCGGGAAAGTAAAGAAATCGTTAGGACTTAGATCGGGACTATATGGAGGATGGTCCAATACGTTTTCTTTTGTTGAATACTGCCTTGTTTTTTGGGCTGTGTGCGAGCTTGCATTGTCTTGGTGGAGGATGATTCTTCTTTCGGGGTTGATTTTTCGAAGTTCGGTGATGACTTTTGGCAAACAAATGGTGGTATACCAATCCGCAGTAACAGTTCTTTGCTCATTAAGAGGAATTGTTGCAATATGACCCGCTTTTGACACAAATGTCGCGACCATCTTTTTCGAAACACTTCGAGAACGCATGACTTTTGTTGGCTTTTCTTCACCTTGGAACACCCAAACAACCGACTCTCGTTTATTTTCTGGTTCATAACAGTAAATCCACGATTCGTCACCACTAGCAATGCTGTACACATTTTTTGAGTTTCCGGAATTGAAAAGGTGAAGCGTTTTTTGACACGAATTAACCCTAAGTGTTTTCTGCTGTTCAGTCAACAGGTGGGGTATCCAACGAGAAACTAATTTTTTTACTCCTAATTCTTCATGTAATTTTTTTTTAATTGAGGTCTTTGAGATCTTCAAGGACGCCTCAATCTCGCGAAATGTCACATGTCTATCTTCAATGATGAGTTTGCGCACAGCATTGACGTTTTCCTGGGCGATTGTTTTTTATTTTAGTTTTTTTTTGATAGCCATTTAGCTAGGGGGGGGGTTAATACAAAAATTCACTCTTGCTAACCTGTCCAGGAGTTGGTATCTCTTTTAACGCCAGAATCCCAACAGTGATACTTGGTGTTATTTTGGAAACTAGGTGGCGCCCAAATAACCATTGCATCTAAAAACCAAAGTTCAAAGAACCTCACCCTGAGGGGCCTCATAGCTACCATCTGAGCACACAGCTTATCCGGGATAACAACCAGCATAGGAAGCAAAATCGATCCTTATAAGCCCATCAGCGAACATTTCTTTACAGAAAAAGAGAATATTCAACCACATTCGCCTCCTCAATTATCAGTATGATGTATTATATAGGATGTTACTTGATGAAATGTTTCCTAAAAATGTTTAAAAAAATCTTCTATTCAGAGCAGCAAAAAGTTCATTTATTACCAGAATCTGCGGCATCCTGCGGCCACAGTGGTGACCCGTCTGACAGTTCGAGCTGGGATACTACTGGAGCAGACAGCTTTCTGTTTTTACTTTCGCAAAGGTGGATTCTGGTAATTTATGGCACTTTAAGCGGCATAATTTCCATAAAGACGTTTTTCTCTTATGCAGTCAGAGAGCCAATAATAAATACTATTTAACCCTTAATAGCTACTCTTCCAAAACAATCACTTTTGAACTACCCAAGGGTCAATATGACCCAGATAAAAAAAATTAAATTTAAAAGAAAAACAACATCAAAATAATTTTATTGACAAAAGTAAACAAACGTTTATATTGTAATATAACATGTAAGTGTTGAAAAAAACAATTTGGGCATATGTTTTTGGCACAATTACGACATACTGGATTTTTGCAGCTGTCACAGAAGGTACTAGTTTTTTGGTCCTTTTTAGATGGGCAAGCAGCACACCGCTTTCTTTTGGAAGGAGGAATGCGTTCAGTAGACTGTGCTTCAACATCAAGAGAAATTCCCAGTATATTCGCCATCAAACTTCTGAGTTTACGGGGAATCTTATTATTGTACATACGAACCATAATATGGCGTTGACATAAACTACGAGCTAAATTAAACAAGAAATTCCTTCTTGTTATTTCTTCTCCATTTTTAGAAAATTGAAGTAATACTCTAGAATTGATTCCTGCAACATTTAGCATCATGTGGAATAATGCCATGGGCCAACGGCGAGTTTTCCTGGAAGTTGAATAATTGGAACATTTTTGATCGAGGGCATCTACTCCAGCTTTTGTGTCGTTGTAAAACAAAATGATTTCCGGTTTTTTTGTTTCATTATCAACAGATGAATCATTATGCATACTGGAAATCAAAATCACTGACTTGTTTTTCTTCGGTACATATGAAACGAGAGTTTTTCCAGAAGTAAAGCCGAACTCTGTTGAAAATTCTTGACGCAATCTAGACGGCAAAAATTCTTTAGGAATACACCTTTTATTTTTTTTCAGAGTGCCCACGTAGGTTACATTTACTTTACTTAACTCATCTACCAACTCTACAGAAGAATACCAATTGTCACCTGTGATATTTCTATTACTTCCAATTACCGATTCCACCAAGCGAAGAACAACTTGTGTTGGTTGAGATAATTTGCATTTACTTTTCTCCAGCGACTTTCCCGCATAAATTTCTGCATTTAGCAAATAATGAGTTTTTGAGTCTGCAAGAACTTGTACTTTAAGACCGTATTTAGCGGGCTTGCTTGGAATAAACATCTTAAAACTGCAGCGTCCGCGAAACGGTACCAACATCTCATCTACGGTCAAGTATTCCCCGGGTGAGTAGTTTCCTTTACAGTTTTGGATAAATTCTTCAAAAAGATTTCCTAAAGCGGCTAGTTTGGTATTTTTCATTCTTTCTTTTCGTGTTAGTTCGTCGTCAAATCGAAGGCAGCATAAGAGAAAGGAGAACCTAGCAAGTGACATCGTGCATCTAAATATGTCACGTCCTGTTCCATCAGTAGCCCAAAGGGACCTTAAATCTTCATGGCCAGACTTGTATAACCCAAGGAAGTATAGAAGACCAACAAATGCCTCAATTTCTGTTTTGTCAGTTTCACCAATAAATGAAGGTCGAAATTCCGACCTGCTATTGCTCTTCTTCTTGAACTTTCCATAATGACTTTGAACTGATCTGATTTTTGTATTAGTATGAATTATAATTTGTCCAAATATTTCATCTGTCAGAAGCAACTTCCAGGCTTGTAAGGCAGATTGAGGTTTGTGTTGTGCTGCATTTCCTTTCAAACCGGGCAAAACTTTTATGATGTTTTTTGCAAGAGTCTTTCCTCTTACTGGAGCAGTAGTAGACCATTTTGTTCTATCTTTTCCATACAAAGCTTTTGGAACTTCCTTTCTGTTTAAATTCACATCTTCATTACTGGTACTAGCTGAATGTTCTTCGTCTTCATTTTGTTCGTCGGAAGGCTGCCATTCCTGCTCACTGTCCGTATCGTGGGTACTTAGTTCCTCTTCGTCTTCCTCTTCTTGATCGCTCTGGTCCCCAAACGTAAAAAGTTTTTCGCATGCATCACGTTTATCCTCCTTTTCAATAGTATTTTCATTGTATTCGTAAGTGGAAGATGACGATGATGCAGTATTATTCACGTCGAAATCCTCCCAGAACTCATCAGACTCAATAATTTGTTCCAGCTCTTTATCAGTAAGTCCTTTAGCCATTATAACCTGAAAACATCAAAAAAAAATACTTCATAAAAAAAAACTAAAAATGGTGGTTAAAACTTACCTTTTCATATAAAAAATACTACCAATAGTTCATAAAATATTCAAGTAATTCGGAACAAAATAATAACGTTTATACTATCCACGGGTCATTTTGACCCAGTGGCTGCCATTACAGTCGAATGAACTACGTCACTAGATTAAAACTACGATGCACATTTACTTCAACAGCGGCTGAACGAATACTGAACCACCGCCAGCTGTTCACGTTTAATATAAAGATACGAAGTGGGGGGGACCTCATATCGATGGGTCATTTTGACCCGTGGGTAGCTATTAAGGGTTAATCAGACATCTTGCATATAATACCGGATGTAAACGTTATTCTAGTCATTATTGAAATGGGTAATAGGGGCGATCAAAGCAAGTCCACCCATGGTCCAAAAGTCAATATATTTTTTTCTAAATAGCTGTATAGTTTACAACTTTAAGTGCTTTATATAATAATAATAATAATAAACGTCTTTATTTCCAAATATACTGAGAATATCAAAAATAGCCAAATACGGGCGAAGTTCAGCTGTAGCTGCTCTTCCACTTAACCCGCTATAAAAAGTCTGTACAAAAGGTGGGTGAGACCTACTTATTTTACACATTACAATTACTAAATGTATATGCAGTGCTTACATTAATACATCTACTATTTAGAAGAGAAACATAAACTTGTATCAATATTTTCCTGAAACATGGTTACTACTGCTGGGATAAGAGATATTTTTTTAATTGAGTTTTGAAACTTGAGATGCTCAGAGTTTTATATTGTACCGGAAGGGTGTTATAAATGGAACAAATTTGGTAGCTGAACGATCGTTCAAATTGGGCTGTTCGGAATATCGGCGGTGTCAACAACCCCCTGGATCTTATATTGATGTTATGCACATCTGTTCGAAATGTAACTTTTTCAAATAAGTAAGTGGGGGTCTTATACAAAATTATTTTATGATATAATGTTGCGGCATGCAAAAATCTTCTTGTTTCCATGTTCAACCAATTCGCATCTTTCAACTTATGCGATATTCGGTCGCGTCTTCTGATGCCATATATTAATCTGAGGCAAGAATTCTGCGCAACCTGAATTTTTTGTTTGTAAGTGACAGTTAAGCACGGGCCATACAACATATCAGAAAAATTGAAGTGCGAGAGCACCAACGACTCACATAGATTTATTTTGACTTTAATGGAAAGGTTACGTCTGTTGCCGTACAATATTTTTAAAGATGAATATGCCTTACGAATGAGCGAATTTATATGTTTTTCAAATCTTAAATTTACATCCAGTGTTACAACCAAGTTCTTTGCTTCACTGACAGTTTCAAGTTGTTGTGCATTGATGGCAAAGTTAATTGAGTTAGTGACATTCTGGCGCGCATGGTTTGGCCCAAATACAATTACTTTAGATTTGCTAGAATTACGATGTAAACAATGTTCTTCGGCATTCTTTGTCAATAACGATAAATCTCTGTTGATGGTTGCATTCACAATGTCCACATCACTGGGTAGAAAAGTATGATACAGCTGAGTGTCATCACCATAGCAGTGCATTTTGCAAGTATTTAAGCCTTTGCCCAGGTATAATAGACCACAATCGCCACAATCTTACTAATTTTTATAATCTAATCTAAAACGGTTTTAAACTGGGTAATTAACAAATAAATGGCATTACGTTTTTCTAAGTTAAGGCAAAATTTGTAGTCAGTAAGTAAATTTCATTAGATTAAATATTTAAAACACACATGACAACAGCGCGACGTCATCACACTTATCGAACCGGCAATCGATCGCAAACGATAACAGTGGTTAGTTATCGGGCATCGGGCGTGTTTTGTTTTTGTTCGCGCACGTTCTCGTGTTTGCTTACGAATCAAGAACATGTTGTTAGTTTACGGTGAAGCTCGACAGAAGGACATTTGTGCAAGTGTACCAAAGACTTCAAGATACAGAAAGAGTTTAGCCCACTAATATTGAAAGTCAGGCTACTGTAGAGCAGAAGGAACAAATTTTAAATATCGTGGAAATCAATGCAGATATCAGCACTCGGGAATTAGGCCGCCGCGTAGGACTATCGCATACCACAGTCCATAGAATCCTACGGGAAAATTTGCTTTATCCCTACCATGTACAACGAGTGCAGGCCTTGTTACTAGAAAACTATCCTCGCAGACTAACATTCTGTCAGTGCTTTTTGCACAAAAACATTGAAAATCCGGATTTTTTTTAAAACATTCTAGCGAGGGACGAATGTACTTTTACGCGAGAGGGGATATTAAATTTCCTTAATGCTCACACGTGGGCCCAAGAAAATCCTCAAATCCTCCAAAGTTGTCAGGAGAAGGATACCTTAGCTTTCTAGCCAATAACCTACCAGAACATTTGGAACAGACCTTAGACAACACGCCATTACAACGGGGACAGAATTTGTGGTTTCTTCATGACGGGGCACCACCACACATTTTTAGAGGCGTCA